CATGTAGTGTACTATTTTTCTTACTGTTGTCAATAATACATTTTAAATTAGATGATATTATAAAATATTTTGGATTTGTTATTATTTATATAATAAAGTAATTATAAAATATTGTTGGTATATAATATTATAGTTAGTTAGGTTGTAATAATTTGGGTTTTTTTAGCGGATTAGGGTTTTCTGCCAATTCGAGATTTTAGTGGCCAAATTTTCATTGCTTTAGTCAACTCTTTATTGTAGTCCATATATAATTATATAATTAATCCATGATAATTCTATGATTTCTTTTGTGTGATGTAAATTTAATGGTCAACATAAGTTCATACAGGGAAAGAACATCTCAATATTCATAAATTGATGAAAACAATGAAAGTTAATAATGTATTACCCCCATTTCTTATTGGATTCCTAAAAAACAATATTTATAATGAATTTTAATAATTTTTTTGAATTTTTTTAAGGCTTAATCTCACCGATCCGTTTTTTAAACCACTGGGTGAGACTGACATGTAATAGAATAAATGTTAAGATAAGAAACTTACATATAAGTCGAAAATGTTATGTCCCTACATACCTAAGAAGAAACCCTTCAAGGATCCAAGGTTGAGATGAACTTAATCTGAATATAGTACCCATTGCTTGTGGTGGCCAAAAACTTTGCTAACTCAGCAAATTACTACAAATATCAGAATAAGATTTTCACCAACTAAAGATTCCTTAGTATTAAATCTAATCCTGAGGTCCTCAATTGTTAGCTGTAATTTATAATCCTAACATTTCCTTGTTTCTACATTGGATACTCAATGGACACTTTTTGGTATAAAAAATTTTGAGTTTGGGAAGGCAGGATAGATACTCCAAAGTCAAGATAGTTCATTGAAAAATGATAGTTCATTGAAAACTGATGGGAAACTTGTACAGGTTCAATTGTTCCAAAGATACAGGAAACTGATGGGAAGGGTTCTCGACAACACAAAAATGGGCATCAAAGAGAAGGACAGCCCATTACCTGAAGCTCAAAGATGATGTCAGACAAGTGACCGCCCCTCAAAATAATTGATCCAGTTAAACCTATACAATTTAAGAAATAAGCAAAGCACAAGTCAGAATAAAATAAACATCTTAATAAAGAAAATGTATCGTGATATAAACAAACATCAATAGTTAAGCAACAAAAACAAACATAAGATGCTTTCAGAAGTGAATGTTAGGATCTTTATGTGATAGAATTGATGTGAAGAAAGAAAAGAGTTCCGATTTACTTTAAAGGAAAATCTCATTGCAAATGGGTTATAGGCAACTGAAAAAAGCAAAAATCAAGATGATCCCCAACGACACCAAAAAAAAGCATAATGTGATCTTAAATTGGGAAGAAATAAAAAAGCAAAATAAGGAAAGCCTCAATAAATTTGTCATTCCATAAAACTTTAGTATGGAAATGGAAGCATCAATAGAGAAAGTAAATTTGTGATATGTATGCATGTCTGTCTTGATTCTAGCTTCTATACTAATACTTTATGGTGTGCTGCTCCTACGAGCAGTATTTCTTATTTGAAGCAGTATTTCTTATTTGTTAGTTCCCCAAAAGTGTTGCTTTTTAAAGGTGTAGTCAATGAAGTAGAAAACTTTTGGAATGGAGTGTTTACCATTAAGCACAAATTGCTGTGTATTCCAAAATATTGTCACAATAACTCCACTGACAAAGGCTTCTATGCATGACAGACAAAATAAGAGGCACTCTTAACACAAGTCTTGGGATTTTCCATTGCAAATATGGACAACAGAGGAGGAAATGACCAGGATTTTGAAGGCAAGGAGGAAAAGATCGACTCCAATTCTTTGATAATGGACATCAATATCCTATAGAAGACGTTGTTTCATGGCATCATTAACTTGGTTAAGTACACTGTGGCTAGAAGGGGGGAAATAGTATTATTTGAAGGTTTTAGGTTTCAGACATGGGCACGTGAAGCAAAAGACCATCAAGTACTAAGCAACAAAAGCAGTACTATCTTTAAGGATAATAGCCGAGGGGGTGTGCAACAGTGCACGTAAAATGGCCAAGAGAACTTCTTTGGTATATAGCTCTTTTGAGCCTAAAACTTGCAGCAAAGGATTTCCTGAAGTTTCCTGACCTAGTAATGGCACAAATGGGATGCCCATTGTTACTTGTTATGGGTTTCCTGACATAGTAATGGATTTAGCAGCAAACTTTGAAATCTTTAACAAAGGAAATACATAAAAAAAACAAATGAATTGAAATGACATCCAACCATACTCCTGCAATAAAAACCTGCCAGTAAATCCAGATTCCATTAGACATCCATTCTAATGAGGCATATAAATAATTTCCAACCAATATCAAGGTCCAGAACAATACTAACGCACAAAAACCACCACCTAATCTCCGTTCATCTATTTTAATCCTCATTCTTACTGAAGGAAATCAATTTACAGGACCCAGAGTGAGAAAACGGATATCATATATTTTGCATGATCACAGAGAAACAGCAGAATTATGTAGTTACAGAACTGAATTACATAGACTCATGATTCAAGCATCGTAATTTAAAGAACTGATATCATTTGAACCATGAGATTTAGGTCAAGAGATTGATCACAAAAAGGAGGGGATAAATGCATAAAGAAACATTATATAATGAGAGAAGATACCTGCTCCAACAAGGATTAGGACCTTAGAGGAAGCGAGCCCTGAGTGCATCGCCATGGTTGGCTTCTTTAGAAATGTGGAGAGAAAGCTTGCCGCCACTGTCTTGACTTTTAAACCGAGGAACGTTTTCAACTTGTTTTTTTTGTTACGGTGCAATTTCTGTTTTTTCTCTTCTTTTTTTTTCTGTTTTTTCTCTTCTTCTTTTTTCTTAAAAAAAGTGCAAGCTTCATGGGGATTTTGTCTGAAAACTAGAAGTTGGTTGTTATCAAGAACCTGGAAGTTACTTCTTCGTGTGAAGTTGGATGTTCTGGCTCCTAGTACCGAAAGGTATTGTGTTTGGTACCTTGTCGTCAATTTAGAGGGAGCCTGGAAACTTGGTACCACCTAGAAATTATCAAACCTCGAGACATGATAATTAACCAATTTAATCCATATATGAAAGAATTTATATTTGGGAGTATTTTTTAATGAGAATCTAATAGATCATCAACAATAGATCAAACAAGAAGGATGGATTTGTACGTTATTAATGGTTTTATAGCGATTGATTGTATTATTTATGTTTTATAATTAATTCTATAAAAAAAAAACCTCTTCTATCCAAGCTCCTTGTATATGAAAATGTAATTCTTAGTGTGAATTGGATTTGTAAATTAATGTTATACGCATCAAATTGGATTGGTTTAGGCTTTAGAGAGAGGGAAGTAGAGTCCATACATGATAGCTTGGGTTAAAGTATGAGGTAAGATTGAGCAATGATTTCATGCAACCGTTGTATAGTAATATGATGCAACAACTTTAAAAAACCATCTTATGGTTATTTGTTTGATCCAAATTTTGAAATATATACTCTTTTCATTCTAATGTACAGTCAACAAAAAAAGAAAAAAATTGAAAAACAC